CGCACATGCACACGCACACATGCACACACGCACACACACATGCAGACGCGCACATGGACACACGACACCTACATATGTATGGCAGAGACACACATGCACACAGACACACGCATGGACAGACACAAATACACATGCACACATTCACACTGACACACTGACACATGCACACTGCCATGCACACGTGCACGTGAACACACAGACATGCACACACACGCACACCCCCCCGCACATGCACACACACACGCACAACACAGACACACGGACACACACAGACATGCATGACCATCACATGCACACAGATGCACGCACGCACCAAGACACAGACAGACACACACGTGCACACCAAGACACGCCGGGACCTGCAGAGCATCTACTGCACACGGTGGCGCCATGCACTCAGACGGCATGCCGCCGGCCCTGCTGGGACCCAGGCCCTGCGGGGGAGACCAGGCATGCAGGAGGTCTGCCCGGTCCTCAGGCAGGCGGGGTGCATGCCCATGCTGACTACAGCGGCCGCAGTGGCCGGCTCCCTCTCCCTCCACAGCGCAGGCCTGCTGCCCTCGGCCTGCCCCAGCATTGGTTTCAGCTAGTTTCGGCCTCTGTCACCCAGACAGAATGGCCCCATTGAGGTCGTCCTGCTGCCTAGCCGATGGCTCGAAGCCCCCTCCCACCTCAGTGCAGGTCTGGCCCAGGTCACCTCTGTCCCCGTCTGTCTCCCTCTCAGGAGCAGTGCCTGGACAGGGCCTCGTTGCCCAGGCAGCCTGTGACACAGTCAGGAGCCACATCTGTGGTCCTGGTCACCCTTAGAATGAAGAAGGCAGTCAGGGCCACCATCCACACAGGACCACCCGCAGCCCAGCCTGCAATGTCCCGAAGGCTCAGGGGCCAGGCGGGCCGGGCTCCTCACGTTCAGAGGCCAGTTGGGTCAGCTGCCGCTGCCTCATCCCTACAGCCAGGGCACCGTCTCTGGCTTCCTAAATCTTCTTCCTCTTCTTCCCAGGGGTGTCCAGGGGGCCAGAAAGGGGCTTGGCAGTGGGCACTGGACCTCCCCACACAAGCAACAGGATCAGTCAAGTCATTCCACACTCCTCAGACGGGTGGCCCTGTCCCGTCCCCTGCATCTGGGGTGGGGGACAGACCCAGGAAGTCCTGGGGACAGACATGACACAGAGGTAGCAGGGACAGGAGAGGGGCCGTGCAGAGGGAGAGAGGAAGGGGCTTCCAGCAGGGCGTGGCATCCAACTGGCATGTCACAGCTCCTCTGAGCCCCAGGAGGGCGGGCTGTGTGTGCCAGGTGAGCAAGGAGCCAGGGAGGGGAGGGGCACGTGATGCTCTGAGGACCCCAGACTCAAAGAGCAGCTTGACGGTGCCATGCGGGGGGACCCAGCGCATCAGGAAGACGCTGCAGGACTGAGGGGGGCAGAGGCTGGGACAAGGGCTGGTCAGGACTTCATCCTGGCACCACACCCTCCACTCACCGGAAACAGGAGCGAGCGGTGAGAATGAGGAGCACTATCGAGGGCTAGGGCCTGGGGAGACACCCTCCCGGCCAGGCCCACGGCCACCGAGACCCATTTCAGGGCCCCTGCCTGTCTGAGGCCAGGAGCAGGGCAGCCGATGCACGGGAGGTGGGTGCCCAAAGGGTAATGGGCCTCTAGAGGTGGGAGCCCCAGCCCTGCAGCCTGAGGCTCCCCCACCTGCCTGCAGGATGTGGGAGGGATTCCTCAGGCAAGAGAGGCACCTTGCTTTTCCAGCTAAGCAGCAGCCCTGGTGGCGCAGTGGTTAAGTGCTCGACGGCTATCCAAAAGGTCGGCACACCCCTCAGAGAAAGATGTGGCAGTCTGCTTCCAGAAAGATTACAGCCTTGGAAACCGTATGGGGCAGTTCTACTCTGTCCTGTAGGGTCACTATGGGTCGGAATCCACTCGACAGCAACAGTATTTTTTTTTTTTTTTGGTTTAAGACAACAAGGGCTGTCCTGCCCACCTCAGCTCCTGGCCGTAGGGATGGGCCCCACCCTGAGCAGTCCTAGGTGGCGGGGTGCTGCCCTCAACACTGGCCAAGCTGGTGGGGCCTGGGAACATGCCTCTCACCAGCCAGGGTTTTTCCTCTTCTCAGATCTTAGAGACAACAGTGGGGTGAACGGTGTCCCTCAAAATTCACATTCACCCAGAACCTCAGAACGTGTCTTGTTTGGAAATAGGGTCTCTGCAGATGTATTTAAGATAAGGATGGCAATGGGATCCTCCTGGATGAGGGTGGGCCCTAAGTTCAATGGGTGTCCTTAGAGGAGAAGAGACACAAACAGAGAAAATGGGAGTCATGTGGTCAGAAGCCAAGGAACGCCTAGAGCCACCAGGGGCTGGGAGAGGCGAGGAAAAATCCTCCTGTGGAAACTCAGCAGGAACCACAGACCGGCCAACACCCTGATGGCAGACTTTCCAGGAACCAAGAAAATAAATGTTTGGTTGAAGTCACCCAGTTTGCAGTACTCTGTTATGGAAGATGGTCTCGGGAATGAAGACGGGGAGAAAAGGCTGGGTGCCCAGATTAGCTCGATAAGCACCCTCTGGGGGCAGGGTCTGCAGCTGGGCGGGGTGCGGAGAGGCAGGGGCCTCGACTGCTTCACCCGTGAAGCGGCAATGCCACGTCCTCCCAGGAGACAGGAGGGCACCCCCAGGGTAGGCTGGGGCCGGTGGGACCCTCACCCTACCCCTCTCCCCACCACCCACCCCACAGCCTGCAGGAGCCTCGCAAAGGCAGAGCGAGAGTGGCTATAATTTAAAATACATTTATTTGTTGTTTCCATTTTGTTTCCGGCTTTGTTATACAAACGTGTTAAATAACTTAAATACGGTTTCCACAGTCACGCAGGTACACACCCACTTGCTACACAGATGAGGTAGAGAAATCGGAAGGCTCTCACAAAGACGAGGACTCTTCACGGGTGAATATGTCCCTCTTTTCCCGGCCAGCATCAACCCCTGTGTGTGACAAGGCCCGCCACGCAGCCCCTTTCCCCAGGGGGGAAGGGGGCCAGACCCCAGGCCGAGGGCTCTGGGCCGGGCTGTGGGAGGCCAGGCCGAGCAGAGTGTGGACGCCACCCATGTAAGGCTTTTTCTTCTAGAAGTACTCTGTCACACCGAAGAGAAGCAGGTAAGTAGGAGGCCCCAGCGGGGGGCAGTGTCTTCGCTTAGAAAGACGATCTGATATATATTTCTATATAAACAAGCAAACCAGCAAACGTTTTCAGTCTGCCTTGTTTAAAAAAATACTTTTCTTAATATTTATGACATAGAGCTAAATGTGGTATTTGATTAAAAAAAAAAAAAAAATTCTTCCTCTGACGGGCCACCTTTCCATGGACCCAACAGTGACCAGGCACAGTCTCGTCCTAACAGTGGCCAGCTCCACCACGGAGCCCCAGCGAAGGGAGTGCACCCCAACCCCTGACTCGCCCAGTCAGGTCTGCTGAAGGTGGGGGGCAGCTTCCTGGTGTGGGGTCCTCACTCCTTGTGCCCCCCCCAAGCACACGCATGCCCTTCTGGGGACAGAGCTGGCCCTCCGCTCCAGCACCCTCCTCTCTGCACGCGGTTACTTCACAGGGTGAACAGACTCTACCCTATGAAGAACCACGGGAGAATAGACTTTACTATTTACACTATAAAACAGGGACAACAGAGACCCACAGCCACATAAATACGTTCTCTTTTCGAAGCACAGTCACCCCGGGCTTCCTCGAGACCCTGGGACTCAGAGAAGCATGCTCACTCAGTAGTTCCTGCATCCACACCGCCCGCCAGCTCAGCATCCACACAAACCTGGCCCGGCACGCGCGTGTGCACAGTGCGCGTGCCGCCAGCCCCACCCCAGCCTCGCTCCCTGGGAGCAGGCCCTCCCTCAGTAGGGGGCAGACGGTCCAGCAACTCGGGGAGGGAGCCACAGTAGAGTGCTCTGAGGAAGGGACCCCTAGGCAGCCGCCACACCCCAGCTGGCCAGTGACCACTCACACATGTGCATTCACATACATGTGTCTGCATGCAACCACACGTGTGGACATGTGTGTGCACACATGAAAACACGTGCATGAGTCTTGTGCACATGTGTGCTTACCCAATACGTGTATATATCCATGCACACATGTACCATCTCACACACACACACACACACACACACACACTCTCAAACCAAACCCGGTCAGTGGGAGCCATTCTTTCCCTCTCCTGCAGAGAGAACGGCATTCAGGTGGCCGAATCCTAGCCCAAGACTCCCTCCACCCCATCTGTCCCCACCTTGCCTCCCCTGCAGTGACAGCACAAGCCGAGGCTTCTGCGTAAAATGGACCTCCATTTGCACCTGCTTTGGGGGAGAGCTGACCACCCTCTGCCACCCCAGCCCTGAATCCAAGTCGAGGGGCCCAGAGTGCTGGCCGTCTGCTCACAGCATGCCATGCCCGGCTGGCAGGGGACCCAGCTTCCAGAGCCCTAGGCCCATGGCCACACACAGCTTTGCTTTCTTTCTTTAAAAAAAAAAAAAATAATAATCTATCTTGATTTAGTGGTTTCCAACGACAAAGCAGAGTCAGGCAGAGGGGAAGGAGGGAGAGACTGGGGAGGGTGAGAAGGGGCCCTCAAAGAGCGGTCTGGGGAAAAATAATAATTACTACATTCATTAAATAATAATAATTTAAAAGTCACTGATATTCACTCCAAAGAGAAGTGCTTGATGTCAGAGCAGGGACACAGGAGCAACTACGTCCCCTCCAGGGCCCCTGGCACAGGCCACAGAAGCAGAAGCGCTGCTTTCTCGTCTAGTGGTTTGACGCTCTGAACACAGTGCTGGGCAGCGGGCAGCCTCTGCCGGCCGAGCCGCCCGTGGCCGCCCCAGACCAGGCCCCGGGTACGGTCAAGGAAGGCGTGCCTCAGGCCCCTGGCTCCTCAGAAGGGAGCAAGGAGGTGGCAGGAGGACCGTCGGCAGAACTGGAAGTGAGGGCAGGTGGCGGCAGACAGGGGCCCATCTCTCGGCCCTCGGGATGTGGCATTTCAGGGACGAGCGGCAGCAGGAGTAGCATCAGCTCAACGCTCTCGGGTCACGGGATGGGGAAAGCTGAGGCCAAGAAAGGGACCCTCATGGGTCCCAGGTCAAAAGCAGAGTGGCTACTGAGACCGAAGCCACCTCCCAGCTCAGGGCCCTCGGCGAGGGGGCGGCGGCTCAGCCCTTGCAGGTGTAGACCTCCTCCCGCTGCGTACACTGCTTGCATTCCACGTAGCAGCACCAGCGCACCTGGCACTGGCAGGGCCGCGTGACCGCCCGGCTCTGCGTGTTGTGGCCGCGCCCGCAGCAGATGCTCTCACAGTTTTTCTCACGGTGGCACTTGCGGCCCGCGGTGCCCGGGGAGAAGCGGCCGGCCAGGCAGAAGCTGGGCGAGTCGTCCAGGTGCACCAGCTCGGGGGTGCGAGGCAGTGGGTCGCTGCTACCCGTCCCCGGCGCCCGGCCTCGAGGGGGCGAGATGTCACCCGCCTCGCCTGTGGCCTCGTTGGTGGTGCTGCCCACCTTGAGTGCAGTCTCGTATTTGTGCTTCAGGTGCTTGCCCACCTCGTGGAAGGGCGCCAGCTGGCGCCAGCAGGTCCGGACCGTGCAGGAACCCGACACGCCGTGGCACTTGCAGGTGGTCTCCACCCCGGCCTTGATCACCTGGCGTGGGCAGGAGGAGCAGTGAGGCGGTACCCAGGACAGGCCCCCACTCTAGCCAGCGCCTCTAGCTCCAAGGAGCCTCGAGAGGGAAGGTCAGCCCCTGCCTCATCGAGAGATTCCACCCCAGGTCCAGGCATCTGAACGCATCCAGGCTGCTCTCCACAGCCCGCCTACGGCCATCCACCTCCCTGGGACCTTGCAGTGTGGGCTTAGCATCTGTGAGCGGGTCTCAGCTAGATGGCAGGATGTAACCCAGTCTCCACGTCAGGGTCAGCGTCTCCTACAGGCCGGGAAAGCTGCTGGCTGCTGTTGTGCGTGGTACATGCCCACCCTGAGCCCATTCCAAGCTGAGGCTCCCGTATGAGCCAGTGGTGATGGGAGCAGGTGGGAGACCAGCTCGACTGGAGGGCTCAGGCCGGCCCCAGGGTGAAAAGCCACGTCCGCACACACACACAGCCGAGCCTGCGTGGTCGAACACCAACTCTGCGGTTTGGGATGCTGTGTGGGACCTGCAGGGGCCCTTACCCTCCAAGGACTTGGAGTCCCATCTTCAAGGACAGCTGACCCAGATCCCCTGCCTGACCACGGGCACCTGAGGGCCCTACAGGAGTCGCCCCCTAACCCCGTGTGAAGAAGGGGCCCTGGGCCATGCTCCTGAGCTCCCACGCCAGGCCCAGGGAGAGGCCGGCTTGAGGGGAATTAAGAAATTTAGCAATCCGCCAGGCGGGCGGGCGGGCGGGCAACACAACAGTCACATTTAACAACCCTTTGCTGAGAAACTCGGACAAATTTAATTAAAACGCTGCTTACTCAGGTCCAGTGGAACTAATTGAGCACTTTTAATATTCTGACTTTTCAATAATCGCTTACAAAGAATTGAAGCGCAAAGAAAGGAAGAGGGGTAGAAGAAAAGAGAGGCCTTGCCGGGGGTTTAATCCACACTCCAGAGGTGAACCCTGCTCACCTCTCCCCTTAGCAAAGGCTCTGCCCGGCAGCTCCCTCCCCTAAAGGGCTGAGGGAGAACGAGAGCTTTGGTCAAAAGGGGGGAAATTGAATTTTTAATAAGTGGCAATTCAGAATCCTACTTCTCAATAAAGAGGCATACACAGCGGGCCGGCTCTAATTACCTCACCCTCCCCAGCAGGCCTAGCCGCTCTCACAGTCCCTGGGGAACAGCAAGGGACGAGGCCGCTGACGGGGGACAGACAGGCAGGGGAGAGAAATGCTCTCAGCACCCTGGTAAAGGTCACTCCTTGTAAGGTCACACTATGAGGCCCACGGCCG